TCTAGTAACCCCCTGTGCACTTCTAGGGGGGCAAGTGGCCATTAGCCACGGGCAAGCTGGTCACAGCCCAGCACCCTCCTTTAAAAGGGTCCCATGTGCCCAGGCCAAGGGTGACCCATGTCATGGGGCAGGGGCACACATGAGCACGTGTTGGCCCTGCTGATGGAACCATGCAGCAGCAAGTCCTGGGAGGGGCTGGAGCTGCTGGGGCCCCTGAGAGGCTGGGAGGGCTCCCCCAAGGACTGAGCAGGGCTGGGGTGTGGACTGTGAGCTCAGGTTATGGTTCCTCTGATCCCTGACCCAGTCTGCAGAGGAACCAGGTGAAGATGTTTCAGTGGTAACAACCACCCTGTGCCACCATTCAGCAGAGGATCCCAACCACCTGCCTGTCCCCCTGGTGCTGGGGGACACCCCCACACACTGATGCCCTTTGAAATCTCTGCAGAGCACAATCCCAGAGCAGCCTCTCAGCTGCTGCTGAGTCAAGCCCTCCAGATTTAGCCCTTTTCATCTTTCTCCTCTTGTAAGAGCTTGCAGCCCCCTTGGGTGCTGCCAGCTGCTCCCCTCTGCTGTCCCCTCATGTTTGTCAGGAGTGGTGCTGATGGAGGAAGCAAGAAATAAATCAGCAAAAGCCCCTTGCCCCCATTTGTGGGGCTCTGAGGACAGCCAGGGTCTGGCTCTGCTGTGCAAGAAGGAGCCTGGCACCAGGGCTTGAGGTTTGCACCCCCCCGGGGCACCCCAGCCCTGCACCACCCAGCTCTGGGGACACAAACCAGTGAGGGGCTGGATGGCACCTTTGCACCTTCAGTCCGGGTTTGCTGCTCTCCCATCCCAGCTCCCTCTGCACCTGGAGCAGGGGGCATGAATCCGTGAGCTCTCCCAGCAATATTTAGGGGTTTTCCCCCAAAAAGCATCCTCAGGGAACACAAAGCCACAGATCAGACTTTGTGCGACAGCAAACAGCCCCAGGGGCTGGGAGAAGTGGGGATGAGCTGAGCTCAGAGGTTTTTGGAAGCTGAGCACCACGGCCTGGGGTTGCTTCAGTTTGGGGTAACAGGCACCAGCTTTGCTGGGGGAGCAGAGGAGAAGCAGCTGAGCCTTGAGTTGTCCTAGAACAGCCAGGTGGAGAGGTGACCCAGGGGCTGCTGCCTGCTCGGGGTAAAGGGGAACCCAGCAGGGCTGGGGCTGGGTTAGAGCTGGGGGTGTGCTGGGCTGCAGGGCTGGGTTAGAGCTGGGGGTGTGCTGGGCAGCAGGGCTGGGTTAGAGCTGGGGGTGTGCTGGGCAGCAGGGCTGGGGCTGGGTGAGTGTGCTGAGGCTGGAGCTGGGGCTGGGCACCTGCTCAGCCAGTTCCCAGCAAGTGATTTAACCAGCCTGGGTGGGGAGCGATGGGCAGGGCACCAGCCTCCACCCCACAGCCCGTGCTGTGAGCCAGGAGAAGTTCAGTCTGGTTACAGCCTGAAGATAATAGTTAATGTTTCCCCTTTAAATTATAGTAAGCTTTTGCTTGGGATCTTTTGCCATTTTGCACTTAAATTGGAGCAAAAATTCATGTGCCCCAGCTGCTTTGCCTGTCCCCATGCAAACCAGAGTGGGTGTAGACCTGGCTTTAGTCTA